GTTCAGCCAAGCTTGGCTGTTAATCACTGACTGGTTCAGGACTATGGGAACCACATAAAACAGACTTGTCCTTGCTATTTTATTTTTATGCTAAGTCAGGCATAACAAGGGTCATTCAGTGTATGAAAATATCATTGATTTTGTGTTTGTTTTTGTCAGCCAAGATGGAAAGACACAACATTGCTTTCTATTTCAACATTTTAAAGAGTGTTATGAGACTTAGGCTGCGTTCACATGAAAATCTATTTTCTAAAAATCTAAAAATCTATTTGCGGTATCTTGTGATCACGGTCTGTGCCCTGAATACCCCACGGCGTAATTATGGGCAGCGCAAGCCAGTTACTTCCAAAGCTGTAATTAATTCTCGTCGCTGCCAGTAATTACGCCACGTGGTATTCAGGGCACAGACCATGACCACAAGATACCGCAAATAGATTTTTAGAAAATAGATTTTTCATGTGAGCGCAGCCTTATAAATTGTCGGGTGCTGTTTGCCTGGGCTGGTAAGTAAGAAAAATTAAAAAAAATACAATCACAAGTGTGTGTGTTTGCACGTGTGTTTGTGTGTATGTGCATGCAGGTTTGTTTCTGTCTGTCTTTGTGTGTGTGTGTGTGTGTGTGTGTGTGTGTGTGTGTGTGTGTGTGTGTGTGTGTGTGTGTGTGTGTGTGTGTGTGTGTGTGTGTGTGTGTGTGTGTGTGTGTGTGTGCACATGTGCACGTATGTGTATGTGTATGTATAGATAGTAACAGCTAGCACCAGTGCTGCTTTGGATTGGAATGTCAGCTTTATTTATATCATCATAACTCTTGTCTTTTTTTATGTTTAACTTATTTATTCTTTTGTTTTTCATGGTTGGCCAGCATAATGAAGTGGACAGCCATTGTGCTCACCTGCCAGAACAAGCACAGTGCTAATGCCTGTCAGAAAGGTAAGGAAGATCTGGACGAGTACTAGTAGCTAGAATAAATTTTTTTCAAGTTTATAAAAATTATTCAAGGGAGTCATAATGAGAATAGATGATGATAGTGATGCATTTCCTTTCATCCCATTACAGCTTCTTGAAAGATGTGATAGTAAAATTAAATATGATACTTACAAAACTTAGGATTTTTTGTCAAATTAAATCAGCAATAAGAATATGTGAAAAAATAAGTAAGATTCAAATTAATTCAAAAGTAAATGTGTTTTTTAAAATGCTTTCTCCACAGTAGAAAAGAAATGTTGTATCTTCAGTTAATGGGAATCTGTAAGATATAGACAGAATGCAGCAGGAAATATCACACAAACAATTTGTTTAAGTCAAGACACTTTTCTTTTAAAGACAGTGCAACAGGAAATAAGAAATAATTTGTGAAAACCATTGTCTTATGAGAAAGAATGCAGCAGGAAATATGTTAAAAGCAATTTGTTACAAATAATAATTTGAGTAAGCTATCACAGAGATGTTGGAAAAAAACTCATTTCAGAACTTGAGACGAGGCAACAGAAAGGCTTCATAGCTGAGGATGTCCTGCTTCTTACAGTGGAGGACCCCGCTTCCCAAGTTGGGAGCGGAGGAGCCACCCTGAATGCTCTTCTGGTGGTGTCTGAGCATCTCAGTGCAAAGCAAGGGTACACAGTAAGTAGTTAAGGGGGTGACCCCTGGGTGGCATGAGCCTGTTGCACTTCTCATGTTGGTTGACTGGAAAATCTGTCTAGAGTTTTTGTTGTTTTTTTTTTTTAATTAACTTGAGTTTGTTCTAATATTAAATAAACAATTTTATTGGCTTAAATTTAAAACAGCTAGCCAGTTGTGATTATTTTGTTGCTGAGAATTGTTAATTTTTCTTTTAAAAAAATTCCATTTGGCTGATCTGTCAATAAGATTTTGAAATTGTCTGCTGGTATCCATTAAGATTTGCACTTTAAATTAATTTCATAAATGTTAACTAATTATTCTTGCAGGTTATTAACAGCGATGTGTTACAAAATGTACATATTCTTATCATGCATTTGGTAAGTGGCTAATTTTCACTCATACTTGTCAATTTATTTATTTATTTGTGATTGAATGATGCTAATATGTTTAAGTGAAAAATTCTTTCAAACCTGTACTTTAAGATTATTTATAAAATTTTTCTGGATTGCAATTGGATCTTTTAAAAAAGAATTCCACAAAGAAAAAGACAACCTCATAATTGTAAATAAATTCATTTATTTGAATTCTTTAGGCTAAAAAGTTAGTAAGAATAATCTGATATTATTCATATAATGCCAATATCTTTTAAAGGGGCGTGATTTTCCATTTGATGCTTGTGGTAAAGCATTTACTACACTGCCAGTGTCCTACAAGTCATCCAAGTATGATTCCCTGCTATGCAATTTTGACTTCATTTTAGACACTGTCACAAATCAGGTAGGTAGCTGTACAGAATTTATGATCCCAAAAAAGCAAATATTGAAAAAATGTCACATATTCCTAAATTTTAGTTTTAACTTTTCTACTGAAGAACTGTCAACATTTTTAAAGTGCAGCTCTCCTTGCCAAATTAGAATTGGGCATGATATCATTATTCCACAAAGTTCAACAATGTTTATTTTTTCATAATTATGATTTTGTGGACACTGTATCTTCCAAACGGCAGACACTTTTCTAATAGTGTCATTTTACATAATTTTAGAACATTACAACTCCACTACCAAACTTTCAAGAATCTCTTTTCCTTCAATTTTCTCACTGTTATATACAGGGGTTTATTAGAACTGTGACTGTTCAGTGTATTAGGTTTTTTATTAATATTATAGCTGAGATAGGTTGTCTGTACATTTGTCAGCTTCGGCTGGCTTGTAAGTAGCAGCTGTGTTTGTCCATGTCTTTGCTGAAACTTTGGAGGAAAATTTTGTTTAAACTTTATAACCTTCCATCATGGTGTTTTTACCTGCCTATATTCAGTTCTTTGCCTGTCTGTATTCATCTTTTATATAGTATTACGTATATCTGTGAATATACCAGCTGTTCAGTTAGGCTATATTGCCTGCCATCAGAATCAAACTTTTATGTAATGAGTTGATTCTCTCTTGTGTGATACATGCAAGCCAATCCTCAATTTTCATGTGGCATAAACAATACGGGATAATTGTTAGTATAGAAATATTTTTTTAAAAAATGCGTGCCTATCCATTGTTGAATCAGTGGTATTGTATCTTCTTCTTCATGTGCCATCACCAATGCAGTGTTTGACAATAATTTGCCAAAGGTTTGTGTTTTTTTGCCATAAACCAAGTGCTGTCTTGTTGGAAATTCAAAATTGTCAAGGAAGGTCTTTCGTTGTTGGCCTTGGGCACTTTTGCCAAGTATTCTTCCAATACGGCTAAGATTCTCCAATCCTCAGTGTCAAGATAAACAGTTAAGTATTATATCAGTGGTATGTATACATTTTATGTTAGTTTTTCTATATCTCCATTCAGCTTGCGCCCAATACCCCACCAGGAGTATGGGTATGCAGTACAGACATGTTCATCACAGTACCAGACCAGCCTTTTAAACAAGGTAAAATAAACACTATCATTGAGCGCAGTCAGAGCCGCGGACTAACAGAACAGCAGATCAAATATGCTGCTTAATTCCTGATTAGACTCTGAATAGTTTTCCATAGGGATTACACAACAAGCAATCAAGTGGGTCGGCCATATTTAATCCATGGATCTGTTAGTACGCTGTTCTGTGTGCGCTCTTTATGACTTCCCACTGTAGTAAATGCAAACATGAAAGCTGCCAGCACCAGAGGCATTCAGTTATGAATTTTTTTACATGTCCTTAAAGCGTGTAAGATATTTTAATGTGCTATACATATTGGTGTTTTTCCTACTGTGACTCTTTTTTTTTTTTTTCCAAAGGCTATAATGGTTTTCATGATCACAATTACCAAGTTGAAATACATGGATAGTACATTATTTACCTCAAAACTCGATAGAATATTATTTTGAAAGAACACCAGCATCTATTCCAAGCTTTTACTAAGTTTTCTGTTACACACCCCATCTGCACCTGTACGCTGTGAAATAACATTTGCCAAAAAAATTTAGTTGGACAGATCATATCTTCCATTGAAGTGCTGTGTATGTGTGTCTTAAAAGAACTTGAAAACATTTTGGAGCTAAATAACAATATAAGAAGCTAAATCACCCCCAATAGAACTGCTTTCCAAACAAAAATGACCACAGTATGTGTATTGAAGTCACTGCCACCCAGACATATCATATGATTTGGCATGAACTACACATCAAGTAAAGTGTACAATTTAAAGGCTAGGGCATCCACAGGCTATATAATTATCAGAGGCCTTCATGGTCTACAGATCATTTTATACAGGTAGTCCAAGAAAAGAAAGAAATAACACAACACACCTCTCTGGTTATACTGAAAAGGCTGAAATATTACACTTGGACTTATTTTGATGCACTGATCATTGCTGTCATTACATACATGGAAGGACATTTCTAAGGTTTTATTTTACTAAAAACAAGCTACATGACCTTCTCCAAGACCCATTTTAACCATTAGAGATTTATATCACCAAATTTTAAACTGAGACATCAACTTAGAGTTTTACAAGCTAGGCGCTGTCAAATTTTAGGTAGTTTTATAACTTCGTTAATAATTACATATATATAATATTTTAATGCCCTTTTATCTCTTTTTAAACTGTTACAATATTACTAGTATTTTCCTTTAAATAAAATTATACTTTCCCAGCATTATACAGCACTGGATATTTATTGGCATCATTTGGTTGTTGTTTTAGTTCCCCTGTCCAACTGTGATATAATGGCCATCTCTGTGCCTGGTGATCCCGAGTACGCCAAGGCACATGGTGTGTACAAAATGGGACCAGAGGTAAGAATATGCATGCTGTAAAAACAAGTCAGATCATGTGATCTTAGGGTACAGGTCATGGGATCTCAAGGTCTAGGTCATGTGATCTCAAGGTCCAGGTCATGTGATCTCAAGGTCCAGATCATGTGATCTCCAGGTCTGTGTATTGCCCATGGTTTGTGTGTCACATAATGGCTCATGTTGTTACAGTGATTCTTAAATGATAATGGAAGTCAAGTAAAGAATTTGATTTGTATTTGGTTAAATTTATGTATTACATAAAGACTATGCATTTGCAACATGTAATCAAGATAATAAATATAAAAAGTAGTCTCATTTTATGAGACAAAACATTGATAGAAATTAAAATTTGATCTGAATTAAAAATTAAACAGAATTTTGATTTCATTATTTATGATTGTAGATCCTAAGGGGTAGTAAGGGAATAACACAGGTATAAAAAGCATGAGGTAGCAAATAATTCTAAATCACAAACGTCATAAAATGATATTTTTTGATGTCATTGCAAAATGACAGTTTGCCACTTAGAAAAAATTAGGTAGCCTTTGGTTTTGATATTATAATATTTTATATTGTATATTAAGCACTTTTTAGGTTTGTATCTTGCCAGAGGCATACTATAGATATGAATGCATTTTGATATGTCACTGCATGAGCACACCAGTATGCAATCTGTTTGTAGATTGGGCCCTCTGGAAAAATCTATATGTACGTCCATGATATATATATGACATTTGGCTCATATTGCACACTAGATCTCCTCTGTGAAAGCTCTTTGTGGAAGGTGCACTGCTTTATAATTTACTTCTGGTTCAGTAGAGTGTAAAGTCACTGTGTCAGTTATAGCAATGTTGTAATGGTTTATTACCAGGTCCATTACTTCAGACAGCGCAGCAAAGCATCATTTGCAGGTGTGCAATAATAGAGCAAATATTGCGATGTTATTGCACAATGTACCCATTTCCAGGGAATCTCGCCATCTTGTTTGCAAGTTTGTATTATGATTGTCAAAACTTGTTGCAACAGTCTTTCCCATTTGCCATGTTTGAGCTTATCCACAGGGAACAGAAAAAACAAACACTTCCTTGCTACTCTGGTGACTACACCCCAAAACGAAGCAGAAAACCATGTTCACAGCTGTACTCACTGTTTATTAGACCACCCAAATGTCGAAATCTTGCCAAATATTGAAACTTCAAAGCCTTACCTCTGTACCCTATAACAGTTGAAGAATTGCAATTGGTGCAATGTATCTATACTCTATTGACACTAATTATATACAAGTAGCTTAGCATTGATATGATGAGTGTCTTCTGATCAGCATTATTTGCATGGTTCAATAATTTCTTAGTGAATAAAAAACCTAGGGTTTTTTTAGTAGTTGTTGTTGTTGGTTTGTTTGCATGTTGATTGTAGGTAGCTATCATGGCACAGATAACATTGTCTTGTTTTAACAAAAATTTAAAAATTTAATATCATTTGTAGTTAATGGCATCACTAGCCTCACTTAAATCTCAAAATACCTTGAGTACTTGAGCCAGACCTTCCAATGCTAGAGATAGTTTAACATTTATTAATATTTATTTGACTTTTTTTTTCGATTTATATACAACTCTGAACAGATTCACAAATTTCCTTATATTCACCACGAAATAAAAAACTTAACATTACAAAAATGCATTGGACAAGAAACAGAGTGTGCAGAATGAGGTGACACCTAGTGGGTGTCACTTAAACCACATCATTGTTTGGACAAGTTTATTATCATTCAAGCAAATATATTTGAGAAAAAATGAATAAATAATTAAACAAATAGTGTGCCCTTTAGGACAGCGTGCCTCAGGAAGCTTTATTTCACAATTCCAGTTTGCTATAGGCTTTATCCCAAACACCAGTTGGCAAAAACCTGACAAGCAGATAGTAAATCAATGTGGATAGTCACAGATTAGGCTCCATGTTTTGGTTAACTTTGATGAAAATAATGTGTGCATGGTATCTGAAGAGCTCTAGACATTGTAGAACATTTCAGCTAATTTTTATATCCAAAGTGTATCAGCTTCCTTATGTTTAATTTTTCTGCATATGCCAGCTTATAGCTAACTCACACATGGAGACTATAAAATTAAGTTAAGCAGAAGCCGAGGCACATTGTATCTGCACCTCATGGTACATGAGGGTACATTGAACTATATGATGAAGTTTATTGCTGTTTTTGGTCAAATGCTATGTATACAAATGACAGTACATGAAGTACAACTTGCAGGCCTGCTTAACAGTGTCAGAATACATAATTTTATATACACTTGCATGTGAAGATTTGTTACTGGCTTGTTTGCACATTTATGCTTATTTTTTTGAAATAGAAGTCAGGTATTCTGCTAAAAGAATGGATTTAAGTAGATGCATTTATAATTTTTGATTTTTCAATTTCCATTGGATATTTTAATGCTTAAGTCTTAAAACTGTTTCATTATTGAAATAATCTGAACTCCTGTTTTTTTGTTGTTTTTTCTACCACATTTAAAATTGAATATTTTCAGGGTTCTGTGGAAGAGATTATATTCAGAGGCAGCACAGAAGAAATAGCAAAATGCGCCAATAACAACGGCAAAGTGCCCATAGTACGGATGCATGCATGCACATCTAACTCAACACAGATGCACTCACACACACACACAATTGTACAGTTTTAACTTTATTTAATCGTAATTCATCAACAGTATCAAAAATGAAACTGCAATATATTTCTTTCTCACACTTTCTCATACTTTCACATGAATAATTATTTTAATTTGGAATAGGCTTAAGCCTATGAACCTTTATAAAAATCAAATGTATCAGCCAAAGCATCAGTTAATTGGTGACAAATAATTGGTGATAAATATCATCAAGCTTATTAGATTAATAGTGATGAAATGTCAAGTGTTGGGCAGGATATTTTTTAAGTTTGTTGTCTCCTGTATACAGGCTGTGGGGGTCATGTACCTGAGTCCCAAAGTGGCCGAGAAACTGTCCCAGTTCCACTATCTCCCTCCACTGGATGCCTGCACATACATGGGACTCGACTCAGGAGCCAAACCATTGGAGGTAACCCTTAGCAAACTGAAAAGTTTGCAGCAATATTGCAGCAATACTAAAAGTTTGCAGTAACGAGTTTGTAAGAAAAATTTTTATTGCTGCTCATTTGCAGCCATTTTGAAGCAAATTTGGTGAAAACTTGTAAGAAGAAATTGCAGTTTGCAGCAATATTGCAGCAAAACTGCTGCAAATTTGCTGCGAATTTGCAGCAGGCCTGGTATTTTGTTAAGCGAATACAAGGCTATGAACTTTTTATCACTGTTCTTTGTCAGGGCTGTGGCCAGCA